TGAGGGGGTCCCGGGGGCCGCCGGCGACCCTTGTGCGGTGAAAAGGGAGCGCCCTCGCCACTCCCGGAGGCGTTCTGCGTGGGGGACAGCGGGCCCCCCGGCAGCGCGGAAGGGCTGCAGCCTTTGCTCCCTGTACCTTAGGCTTCAGGTGATCCAAAACAGTGCTTCAGCACTTGGATATGGTGAGAGCTAGTTTAAAAAAAAAACCCAGAGGACTTCAAATGTAACAGGTTTTGTTTTTCTGTAGTTAATTCCTGTTGATCCATTTCTGGTCAACGGTTCAGTTGAGCCTTTTCCACCGTTCATTTGGGTGTGTAAGTATGCTTGGTTTGGTACGTCAGCCGGGTTGCGACACCGGCTAAGAGCGGCCAGGCTGCCGGGGAAGCAGGCACGTGGAGTGGGGCCATAGGGGGAAGAGGGTACAGCGAGGGGCCCTGCCTGAAACACAAAGATGCCGAAGCAATGGCGTTCGTGCAGCTCTTCCAGCGGAGGGATGCCAGTTTCCCAGGGTCTGTCGCAGCCTGGAGGGACCGTGGGACAAGAGGCTGCAGCGGGCTGTGGGTGTGCACATCGCTCTGTGTGTGTGCATGTGTGCACGTACGTGTGTGGGGACCAGCGCCTTGATCGTGTTACCCACAGCTAGAACAACATTAAGGCTGAAGGTTAGTGGTGATACACAGCTATGTGAGACAAGAAAGAATAAGGACCCCCCCCCCTTGCGTCACACGAGGCTGACATTGTCTCCGCAGCTGTGGGAATTGGGAGATCACGTCACATCACAAAATATCTCAATATTTTGAAAAATAATTCATTCTGGCCTGGGAGGAGCAGGAGGGTGGCAGGGGCACGAAGCCCACGTCAGGCAGCTGGTGTCCTCTTTTCTGGGGAATCACGGCTCCGGGTGGCTCTGTCGGGCTGCTGTCCCGTCCTTCTGACACTGAGAAGGGACAGAGAGCTAAACAGTACCTGGCACCCTGCGCCTCCCTTGCAGTTACTGCAGTTGATTTGCCTTTTGAATGATGATTTTTGCAAAACCCTCGGCACAAGCCAGTCTGAGGGGGTGAGAAGTGTCACCCCCACTGGCACTAAGCTGGCCTGCCACATCAGCTAAAAGTAGTTGCCCCTCCTGTGCCCCCCCAGCGAGGCGTGGGGCTCCCAGCCGAGGCAGGCTGGGTGCTGGAGCAGAGCCACGTCACGGGGTCAGTGGCTCTGCAAAGGCCGAGCCGCGCTTGCTGGCACGAGCTGGGTGTAGCCTCTGCTTTGCACGCAGTTAATTTCTGGCATGTTACGCCTTGGCGTGCTCCTGGACCGCAGCAGTAAGCGCTAGGAAAAGCAGTGCATTCAACGGGTGCCCGTCGTGGCCTTCTACGCCGCTCCCGCGGGCTCCAGCACCACTGGCAGCCCCTTCCCACCCTTGCTGGCTTTGGAACATTGGGATCAGTTGATACCCAACCAGCTTGTCTGCAAAAATCCCATCCCAACTGGGAAGACTTGTGAAACCTGAACCTCCACCGAGCCGCAGCTCCCCTTTCTGCCCCCCGGCAGGGAGGTCCGTCAGGAAATTCAATCTCCGTCGCAGTCCAAGGGCTTCAGCAAACGCGAGCAGTGAGGGGCAACCGAGAGCACCTCTCTGGCAGATGCGTAATGTACCCGTCACGTACGTTCCAGGAGCAGCTGAAAAGCACAAGGGAGGCTCGCTGGGCGTGCTGAGCGCCACACACCATTTCCACAGCTGCCAGGGCTGAGCAGAAGGTTGGTTAATGAAAATGTGTTCAGAGACCTCTCTCAGAACCAATTTTCCTAAGTAATTTCAGCATTATTAACACTGCCCCAATTTCTTGTTACTAATATTTTCCCTTCCCTTCCCTTCCCTTCCCTTCCCTTCCCTTCCCTTCCCTTCCCCTTTCCCCGGCATTTTCCCAAACCGGGTTTGTGGGTGGCAGCTGTGCAGGCCAGCGGTTCTGGTTCAGGGTTCATCTTTACCCCCGCACTGTGACCTC